AGTTTACGTGGCAGAAACTGATTCATTGATCAAAGGACATTTGTACTGATTGGATTAGCTAGACAAAGTCCAAGCTATGGTTGAGAAGGTTAATGGATAGCTCATGGTTTATTGTTGCAAGCGATGGAATGTGCCTACGTGCCCACACTTATTAAGGAAGGATCAGGTTAATAATCATTGTGCTGAGTTGCATTCCTCAGGCTTCATACTTATTAAGGAAGGATCATTGTGCTGACGTTGCATCCTCAGCGTGGTTTGCCAGCCACTGAGAAAAGCAATTATCCCCACAAATGATCTTACAACCATAACTCTCGGCTCAATTGTTGTCATAAGTCAAGGACCACCTGTAGTGAAATTTACATAGGAATCTAACGAGAGTGACATAATGTCCAAGCAATTTAAATAATAAGAGTTCTAGCGTACACAGATCTACGCTTCTACTTGAAAAATATTAGGGTAGCCTATAGTCATGAATAAATGTTATCTTCCTGATTCATTATCCAATGCAACAGAATAAACACATTAGGGCAGAGTGGAAGATGAACATTTGAAAGATGATATGGGGATGGCATTCCGCCAGGATGTAACTGATCTCCAGTAAACAAGAATATAAACAATTTGGAAAAACAAGAGTCTAGTTCTCATGGAGAAAATTTTATGTTTGGGTTTTTCAAATTGGGAGGAGCTTCTAACATGAAGAGAGGCTCCTTCAGGTACAACATTTTTCCTAAACATAAAAATAATCAGTGTTTTTCAGCCTTAGCAACTTGTTTGGCTCCCTAGCATGCTGGCTAGAGAAAACTGGGAACTGTAGTCAATCCCTCTTAAAGTTGCCAAGGTTGAGAAACATTGCCCTTACTTTTCTCCCCCACATAATTACACTTGGTTTGGTAACCCAATATTAAAAGAACCAACATTCAAAGCACAATAGCTATTACTGGATAATCATTTTAAACAGATCAGTGGTTTTTCCACACTATATGGGTTCTCTGTGTTCAGTGGGGCCCAGCTCAGATCTTCAGATGGGCCATTTTCTTTCCATTTTAACAGGAGATACGAGTGGCATGACCAGTAACCTCAGAAGATCACCAGATCACCAGTAGGCGGGGCCTAGTTCTGGGGTTAGGAGGAACTGAAGTGAGTTTTAAGGAATGAAAGGTGTGTTATCAACTTTGCATGAATTATGATCTAAATTAGGGGAAACCCTAAGGATTCAGAACTTGAAGATTTTTAAAGTGTGAAGTGAATTGTCTTGATGCCTACAAGGCTTCACATAGCAATTCTGCCCCTTAAAACGTGGTGCCATTCCACCCCAAACATCAATCTCCAAATGTAGGCTGTGCCCACTCCTCTACTAAAGGGGTACTGAGGGCTGAGTGTAATCCACTGGTTTTTGCTAAAAGGAGTTAACAGGGGAAAAAAAGTCTAAACAGATAAAACAAACAAAATCATTTCATAAGCCTGAACATTCCTATATCTGCTAATCTGGTTTAAGCATAACTGAACTCAACGGGATCTACTCTTGGACAATATTACAACTAAGGCAATGCTGACACACCCATGCTGGAGAATTTAAGAATTTAAAGAAAAATTTAAATTTAAATTCTTATTGAACTTTGCACCAAAAGGCATACACTTTGATGGCAATTTAAAAACTGGGACAAAATTGCTTTATTGAAAAACCATCACATTAGAAAACAGGTCTTCATGTCTTGGCCAGACAACAACCCCTTTATTCTAGCTACTGAGTTTCTGTTTATTTTTCCCAGGATACTCATGGGAATAATTATTGAAAACATGAATGCACTATGCACATCAAAGAGAACTGTCTGAAAAGAAGCCAAGGGGAGGAACAACTAATAACATTATTTGCTTCTTTAAATGTACAGCTGTGCTGATTCCACACTTGTCACCTGAAGTCACAGTTGCTGGTCCTGACTCCTGAGTAATTATTTTATAGCAGCTTCCACCAGAATTGCTCACTGATAGGTTGAATGCGCAACACCCACCACTGTACTCCGTTAAAATTGATGCTGGGAAGGTGCAGAGCAGGTTTTAACAAGTGGGTTGAAAATGTCAAGGAAATGAAAACTTACCATCCTCAATTACGATTTTGATCAGGCGGATCGAACCATTCCGAGCCTTTGCAAAAAAGTCCTTTAATTCCGTAGTGGCTAAAAGAATCAGAAACATGCTGATCAGAATTTGATTCCCAAAGTTATTCCACTCTCTGACACAATAAAGGAAATGGCAAAAAAAGGGGAAAACCTGAGAGAAACCTGAAAGTAAAAGACTAGAACAATGAAAAAAAGGAGATGATTTCCCTAGTTCTGATCGAGGCTGTCTGGGGAAGTATGCATTTCACTTTCACAGAGGTTCCAGAGTTAAATACCAGCTGGAAGCACATGTGATCCAGATAACTTGATACTTGGCTGGGGCAAACATAATATCCCAAATTTAGCAGTCTGTTGGCTTCCAAAAGCAAGGTGGGCTCAAGTGACAGTTTATTAAATGTACAGCATTTCCTGCTGTGCAGACCAGGCAGGCTGAGAGGACGGCTGGAAAATGGGATGAAGATGGGCAGGAAAAACACTTCTGATTTTACTCCCGTGACAGATATGTTTTGCCTTTGACAGCCCCACACCCCCACCCCAGGCTGGCCAGCTTGCTGAGGAAAAACATTTACAAAGGAATCAGAACTGGAGCTGCTTTGGCATTTGTCTTCTGCCTTTCTGATGTGGATTCTTCAAGGATAATTTTTATGACCTTGAAAGTATGGTAGGTGGTAAGGTTTCCATTGCTACCAAATTTAAACATCAACAAAGCATCCATTCCCACAAAATCAATAACTAGTGGTACAATTACTGAAGACAGCAGCTAGCATTACTCTTCACACAATAAATAAATACTTTTTATTTATTTTTCGGAATATAAGATGCACCAGAGTATAAGACGCACCAAGATTTTGAAGATGCAATTTTAAAAAAAAGTTTTTGCACTCTGCAGACCTCCCCAAAAAAGCTTGTTTTTCATGAAAATGGGCCCGTTTTTAATTTTTAAAAAGGGCATGCATAGCCTTTAGGAGGCTTGTAGAGTGCTCTTGGGGGCTACCCCCCCCAATGAGCAAAAAATGGCCCATTTTTCACAAAAACAGGCCTATTTTTTGTGAAAAAAAATGTCATGCATAGCCTTTAGGAGTGCTCCTGGGGGCTGGGCAAAAACAAGCAAAAAATGGCTTGTTTTTCTCTCATTTTTGCCCTCCCCAGCCCCCAGGAGTACTCTGGAAGCCTCCTAAAAGCTATGCACAGCCATTTTTGTAAAGTGGGTGGGGTTTCGGTAGGCAAAAAATGCTGCATTCAGTGTATAAGATGCACCCAGATTTTCAACCTCTTTTTTGAAGAAAAAAGGTGTGTCTTTATATTCTAAAAAATACAGTACATATGGATTTAATCACTTTGGTTGTGGATGATGTTAATTCTCCCAAATGTTCTGAATACATTTCACCAAAGATTGGCATGTCCAGATGAGTCAGAACTTGACACACATTGATCTCGTTTCATTGAGAGCACAAATACCATAATAGGAAAAGTACAATGTAACCAATATCATTGATTTCACTGTGTAATTAAAATAACTACAGTAATAAATACACTGATCTGAGGATCGCCTGTCAGAAATTATTTTTACCTTTCCACTACTTTTAGTATAATTCTTCTTCCCAAAATACTACAACACTACTGTGCAGAAAATCATTATTTAAAACATCTGTTCTATAGCCATACACTGGAATAAGGATCTCAAACTATATGGGTAGTCCTCAACTTACAACCACAATTGAGCCCAAAATTAATGTTGCTAAGTGAAACATTTGTTAAGTGCGTTTTGCCCCATTTTATGACTTTTCTTGCCATAGTTGTTAAGTGAATCATCACAGTTAAGTTAGTGACATGGTTGTTAAGTGAACCTAGCTTCCCCATTGAATTTGCTTGTCAGAAGGTCGCGAAAGGAGATCACATGACCCTGAGACCTTCATAAATATGAGCCGGTTACCAAGCATCTTAATTTGGATCACATGACCATGGGCGACCATGCTGGAATAGTCATAAGTGTGAAAAACGATCCTAAATTACTTTTTTCACTGCTGTTGTAACTTTAAACGGTAAAGTTCAAAGTTGTAAAATGAACTGTTGTAAATCGAGGACTACCTGTAATTGGAGGGGTTAAATAATAAATTTCCCAGGAATACATTTCAGAGGGGTATAAAATTGGTGACCATTTGTAAGAAAGTCATGGTTAACGTACAAAGTTTAACAATAATTACATGAATCTGTAAACTTTCCAAAATCAATCTCTTGTCAATATTAAATGTTACAATCTGGAGTGTTTAATCAGTTTTAATAACAGAGACCTCTTGCAGGAAAGACCTAAGGCCCACATTGACATTTGCAAAATGGAAAAAAAATGTCCCAGTAAACGCCTAGTTTCTCTACTTTAGAAAAGAAAGCATTTACAGTGTCGCCTGTTAGCGAACAGCTGCTCTGAAGGGTTGCTGGGGCAATCACTGAGCGCATCTCAGGATCAATCAACAACAAAGCAGTATCTGTTCCACTGCATTCCCTCCCATTAACATCAAAGAGGACATCAAATGCATGTGCCATGGCACAGATGTGCTATAAGGAAAGTTATTTCGTATCAAAACTCGTGTTGACAATGCTTCCATATAACCAGGAAACTGCAAACACAGCCATCCAAAACTGTCGTCAAGCTTCAGTCCAGCTTTCAGCAGGCACCCAAACACACATTTATACTGGTTAAAACATGAGAAGTGGGTTCTGGACCAGAGAGACCTCAGAACCTTCGCATTCACCTAGCTTCATGAAGCCCGAAAGTACAGGTAGTCCTCAACGTATGACCACCATCGAGCCCAAAATTTATGTTGTGAAATGAGAAATTTGTTAAGTGAGTTTTGCCCCATTTTACAACCTTTCTTGCCACAGCTATTAAGTGAATCCCTGAAATTGTTAAATTAGCAACGTGGTTGTTGAGTAACTCTGGCTTCCCCGTTGACTTTGCTCCTCAGAAGATCTCGAAAGGTGATCACACGACTCTGGGACCCTGCGACCGTCCTAAATATGAACCACTTGCCAAGCATCCAAATGTAAATCATGTGACCATGGGGATGCTGCAATGGTCGTTAAGTGGGAGAAATGGTCACAAGTCACTCTTTCACTGCTG